TCGAGGAATGCCGTTGATATGTCCATCTGGATAATGAACTTCCCACTAACGGCTGCATCTGCCAACAAGACATGAAGGGTAGGGGGTTTGGCAGTGGGAGCAAAGATCTCATTGAAGTCCCGCTTCTCCTTCTTCATAAACCCCTTAGCCACCAACCTACTCTTATAGATGGTGACCTACCCCTTGTCGTCAGTCTTGATCGTTAGCACCCACTTGCATTGTACGGCTTTCTTCCCCTCAGGCAGCACCACCAGCTCCCATGTCCCATTCTCTAGCAGGCTCTGGTACTCAGCATCCCTGGAAACCAGCCACTTCTCCCTATCTGGTCCAGCTAATGCATCCTCCATGCTAGCTGGTTCCTCTGGTGTAGTGGCAAGAAAACAGTAGGCAGGTTTATCCTCCTCATCCGGATCATAGCCATGCGGTAGAATCAGCAATGCCTCCTCTGTCCCAAGCTGCTGCTCTGCTACATCAGCTCCTGCAGTCAGTTTCTTAGTAGCCATACGGGTATGTCCTGGCCTGGAGACGGGTGTCTCCCATCCCCTCATAACAACACCCTTCGGCTTCTTAGTTTTTCCCTGCTGCTGCTCTCCTCCCTCGGATCCAGCAGCTCCACTAGTGCTACCGCTAGTCTCCACACCATCACCTCCACCAGCAGGTGCCTCCTGCACCTTCTCTTCATCACGAACCTCTGCAGCTACCTCCTCTCCCTCCTCCCACACACTAGGAGTCAGGTCCAGCTGCATGGTGATCTGCTCCATCTGCTGGGACACCCTGGCCTCCGGCTGTTTCTCCCAGCTCCCATACATCATGCCCTCAACAAACTTCACATCCCTGCTGTCAAACAGCACACCCTTGGAAGGTTCCCACAGCAGCCATCCCTTGCTCTCAGCAGCCAGCCCCAAATGCACATACGAGATTGCACTTGCCCCCAACTTACTGCGGTAGGTCTTGGGGACGTGGGCGACTGCCATGCAACTGAACAACCTCTGCATGTCCACCGGCGGCTTCCTCCCAAGCCACCTCTCCAACGGCACCCACAAGTCATCCCCAACCTTGGTGAGTACCCTGTTCCTGACGACGGTAGCGTGCCGAACAGCATGGGGCCACATCAAGTTGCCCAGCCCAGATTCTATGAGCAGCGCCCTAGCTGTCTCTAGAATTGTCCGGTTTGCCCGTTCTGCTACACCGTTGGACTGTGGGGTGTAAGCCGTGGTCAGCTCTCTCTGGATGCCCTGCTTCTTGAGCCAGGCCATCATCTCAGCTCCAAGGAACTCACCACCCCGATCTGTCCTAATCCGCTTCACCACACACTCCGCTTGCTTCTCCACTAACGGCAGCCAATCATCCCGAATCGTGGAGGCGGCGTGATCTTTCTGCTTCAGCGGATACGCCCACATTAGCCTGCTCCAGTCATCCACTATGGTTAGGAAGTACCGCTCCCCCTTGCGCCCTTGCACCGGCAGCGGCCCCACCACGTCCATGTGGACCAGCTCCAACGGCTTTTTGCTCCTGCCAGCCACTCTCTGGAAGGGGAAACGGGTGAACTTTGAAAGGAGGCAAATTTCACAGTTATGATCGGGTTGTTGTCTGTTCAGCTTCAAGCCCTTAACGGCTCCATCCTTCTCCAGCTGCTTCAGCAAAGGCATTGCCACATGCCCCAAAACGTCGCTGTAAAGTTGCCCAATCCGTCTCCCCAGATCTGGCTGACACTTTCACACCAACCCCTCCAACGGCGTTGCACTCCCCCTGGGATGCAGACCCCTCTCCAGCCTGCCCCCCACCGTGCCACGCCAGCGCCGTCAGCTGCCACATAGATCTGTACACGTCCTTGCTCTCGTGCAGATCCCAAAGCACCCGATTGACCAGCTTCCCCTTATAAGTGCGAGCCCCATCCGTGTTGGTGTTCACCCCAGCCTTGCCAAGCTTACGGAGGGAGATAAGGTTGGCCTTCAGGTCCAGGACTAGGAGAACGTCGTGCAGCACCACCGGCTTGCCATCCGCTCCCTTAAACGCAGCTAGTCCCGCACCAACCACCTTCAACATGTGTCCAGAGGCAGAGCACACCTCGTTAATCAATGCAGCGCGTACGTCGTCCAGCAGGTCCTTGCGCGGCGTCATAGTCCAAGCAATGCCTGTGTCCAACACCCAATAGTCCAGGGGGTGCAGCTCTGCTCCAACCTTAGCAGATGCGTCTCCTTGCTCCCCCTCGTCTCCCATATGGAAGAATTGGCCCGCGGTGCGCTCCTTTTTCTTCTCCGCACCGCCGTTGCCCTTCGGGTTGTTGTCGGACGAATCAGCGACCATGTTGGCGCCGTTTTTCTGGTTCCTCCACGCGCCGCCATCCTGGTGACGATTTTGGGGGGTCCATTCATCAGGTTTCTTATAGCACAAAAACCAGGGGTGCCCTTCCTTCTCAAAATACCAGCAACTCCCTTTCATTTTGCCACCAGCACCCGACTTGCCCCCACGTCCAGATTTCGCACCGCGACCCCAACCGGTACCTCCTTGTTGGTCATTGGAGTCGTCGTCTTTCTTTGCACCGCGTCAAGCACCACCGAAGCCACGTCCTTTGCCATGTCATCTCCCTTGCATCCCGTAGCCGCTGCTGCCGTCGTCTCCACCCCTCAGTTGGCGGCGACGGAAGTCCTCCTCCAGAATCTTCGTCTGCACCCACTCGAGCGTCCACAAGCTCTGGTTGTGCAGCAGGCTCAATCCACTCGTGAATTGAAGCCACGATTCCGGCAGCAGCTAGAGCATCTTCAGGCACTTGGTCTACTCCGAGTAGGTGATTCCCGCGATCGCTAGCTTCGCGTAGAGATCACGCATCTTTTCCAGGATGGGTTGCACCGGCTCTCCCTCGCTTAGGCGCAACGCGGACAGCTCCATCTCCATCATGAGCGTCGCAGCAACGGAGGTAGGGGCGTGCAGCTCCTTCAACACCGTCCACGCCTTCAGACCGCACTCAACCTCCGGCAGCAGGTGCATGACGTGGTGATGCTGGTTCAGCTCCAAACTCTGCGACATCAAGTAGTAGCCAGCCGAGGCGCGCTCGTCCCAATCTTCCTGAAGGGCGGGGTCACTATTTCTAGGCTCCTCCCCAATCATTAGTTTCAGCAAACCGATCTGACGGAAATAAAGTTGCATTTTCCAGGCCCAATCATCATAGCCCTCACCATTGAACTTCTCGACGGTGAAGTTTTTCAGCACCTCCTTGATCAGCGAGCCCTGGCTTGTTCGCGCTCCCCTTGGAGCAAAAACACCAGAATCTTGGCTGCCGCTACGATCTTGGGCTGAAGATTCACCAGCTACCGCCGAGGTGTTTGTTGGGTGCAAATTCACATTGCACGACATCGTGCCGTCTGTTTGTATGAGTATGCGTGTGCGAATGCATTTGGGTTTGAATGGAATGTTCGTGTGTTTGTTTGCTTTCGCAATTTTCGCTTGAAGCATTAGCAGGTACTCATGCATTATGCGCTTTGGCATAACATTGTACGCGCTATGAACAGTACAAGCAGAAAGGATGAGCTCGCAAAGGAACCCAAGATGGAAGCTTTGCGGTTCGGCTTACTTGATTGCGCAGATTCAGTTCCATCCAACTCGAAATTGTACTGTTTTGTTTGGTTGACTATAGTGTAGTAGGGCAGGCACTATAGGGGTACAATTTAGGTGATGTTTGGATGTTCTTTGTCTGTATCTGGATGCTACAGGGCCAGGGGAAACCAGCGGAACCAGCATTTGGCTGGTTGGGCAAAGACAAATCAGGTTCTGTTTTTAGGACCTGAACCTGGTTGTTGTTTTTCCAGTTTGGAAAAACAGAACCAGAGGTTGTTTACCAACCTACCACCTGCTGTTTTGTCCAGCCAGGTTGGTTCTGTTGCTTGGAATTATTTGGGATCATCCTTGGTTGTTCCCCGGTTTATTCCCAGGGTCCTTGCTAGCTAGAACTATTTATTGTTTCTCTGTTTGTACCTGGATATAGTGAAATTGATTCAAGCGAATTCCTTCCTTGCTGGAAGTTCCTTTCTACGCGGTGCGAAGGCGGAATGCTACCCGAGTCAACGCTAGTACGCTAGCACTCCAATGCTAGGCAAACGCTGTCCGAGCCATAACTTCGTAATGGCAGAACTTTTCGCGAGGCAACTTGGTTCATTTTAAAGCTCTTGGGGTGAGCTTCGATATATGAAATTCTCAGCTTAATCCGGTCGACGATCTGCACCATACGCTGCGCGATGTTCAAGGTACTCTTGCTGTTTTGACTAAGTCCCTCTTGATCCCTCTCTCTACAAACTCGGACCCAAGGATAGGGGCTGGTCTTGTACCAGGCACCCAAGGACCCTTGGAGGTGACCCCGAGGAGAGGTTTTAAGTGTGATAAAGTCTTAATAGCTTGAGTTTATTAGGCCCTTACACAAACAAAGAGGGTGGAGGGCAGGTGAGGGAGTGGAGGGCAGGTGAGAGGGTGGAGGCGAGGCGACTGACAAGATCTTGAGCGCAGAGAGGCCCTTGAAGGCGGACGTGAAGAATGCCAGTCGGTCCTGCAGTAGGTTGCTGGACATGATGCTGCATGGCGGGATGGAGTGATGGGTGGAGGGCAAGGTGGGAGGAGGTGAAGGAGAGTGTGTGGATGTATGTATGGGAGGTTGATGGCCGCACATGCGGCCAGAGCAGTGCTCCAGCACATGATGGCGCCCAAGTGAGTGGGGCGAGTGGTGGTGCAGTGCGGATGGCAGTGCAGCAGTGAGGAGAGAGACGCGTGAGGGCTTACAGTGACGAGAGCGTGGTGAGCTTGGTGATGTCAGTGTGCATGCTGCCCTTGAGCTGCTGGGACGAGAGGTCACTGCAGTGAAGCACGGGCGAGATAGGGGAGCCAAGTGATATGACAGCAAGGCAGCAGGGGAGGAATAGTAATGATGGCAGGACACTTAAGACACAGGTGCTGTGATACTGTGGCTGTGCTCTACAAGCTTCAGCATAGAGAGCCCATTGCACGTGGCCCACTCACATGCTGGTGACCTTGCCGGTGGCGTTGCACTCCACGTTGGACCGCGCCCCCACCACCGTGCTCTGCCCCGCAATCTTGCACGGCGCCGTGCCCACCCAGTCCGTGAGAGTGACGCCCAGCGACGCCTTGAGGTTGAGCATGGCGCCGCGCATGGAGGGCTCGATGGGGCCGCCCTGGCAGAACAGCGCCACCACCGCCTGCCCCTCCGTGTTGGGCGTGCCGGCGACGGCAGGCGTGGTGGCGTTGGGCGTGCAGTACCCGCCGCCGCACAGCGTGCCCGCAGCCCCCGTGGAGCCACAGATGTTGCCCCGTTGGACCCACCACCACCACCCATCGCTCGTCATCTTCCGCCACATCTGGTTAACGTTGCCATGTCTCTCCATCCCCCCGTCCGCCTTTGCGTGCGAGCAGCAAGCTGAATCGCAACTCCCTCATGGGCGTGTTGCCGACCATGGGCGCAGCAGTGAAGGCGCCCGATGTGGCGAGCAACTTCCTATCGAGATCCTTCCCCACCGCCGCGGTCACAGCCTGTGATTCGCGCTCCAACTGCTTCGCAGACGCCAGCAAGTGCGCCAACAGCAACGGCATGGCGCAGAGGGCCACACAACATATGGAGGGAAAGGGCGTTCCCGCAGGGAGGCGTGTAGGCAGGAAGGGTGGTGAGGGCACTCATATGCTGAAGAGTGCTGGCAAGGCGAGCAAGGAGGAGGGAATGGAGCTGGAGAACCAGATGTATTGCAGTGACCTGCGGGCGGGCACGGGGGACAGGCATGGTGGGGTGATGTGAGGGGCAGGCGGTGATTATTGGCCTGATTAGACGCCTTCATGGCGGAAGAGATGGGCATGCCGATGTTGGCATTGGCAGTAGCACGTGGCGTTGAGTGCATCAGCACTCGCAGCGACTTGAGTGCCTTGAGAGTGCTGAAGAAGGACACAAACACTTTGAGACGCTGTTGAAACAGGTTGGCGCTCAGGTCCCTGCATGCACCCACACACAACACACGCGTGCACACAGGGACGCATTCAAACACATACAGGACAACTCTGACTGCGCTGAGGTAGCAAGATGGAAGACGGCGTGGTGCATATGGGAGGAAGTGAGTATGCTGCATTGGGAGAAGGTGCAATGAACAGTGGCGTCTTGCAAGGGCATGCACGGGCGTGCAAAGGGTTGGATGGGGAGACGCATAGTGCAGTGAGAGCAGTGAGCTTGCTGATGTCCTATGACAGGCTGCCAGTCAGCTTCTGGTTCGGCAGCACGCTACAGATTGGTCAGGGGAAGGGGTGGAAAGAAGACGGAGGGGCGAGGAGGGAAGCAAAAATTATGCGACACGAGCTCTGGAATGCTGGGGGTGCTCAAGAAAGAGTGCTACAAGGGAATGGAGGATGCAACAAAGGGATGTGAGAATTAGTGGAGCGGAGCTGAGTGGGTAAAAAAAAAAATGCGCTCCCAGCACCGTGAGGCACGCACTTAGGCAGCACTGACAGCAGGTGGAAGGTGTTCACTCATAGGGCGACGATGGCGCCAGCGGAGTTCCAGTAGACGCTAGTCCAGGTGTGAGGATCTAGGATCGAGCTCAGAAAAGAGAATGTGAATTGAATTGAATTGAATGAATCACCTGGGTACAACACGAGGCTATATATAGGCTCGACACTAGGCCCCGTAACCAGGTGTTAAGCAAAGGTTCCGCGGGTCGCGAAGCGTCCCGAACAGATCCTTGCCGAATTCGGTAGTAGGCAATTCGGTGACAACCGAAAAGCCAGAATTCGGTGCACGCAACCTAGCTCGGTGCTATGACTATAATAAAATATAGGAAAGCACCTAGCCTAGGAAATCAAGCAATTCATGCATGCATATAATTATCCTATGCTAGAAATAGCATCATGAAGTAAAGGCAAGTAAGCATAGCTGGCATAAGCCGTCGTACTCTCACACGTCCCCCCCTCAAAGCCGGGTGGCGTGAGATACACCCTGCTTGACAAGATAGTCCTTGAGAGCACGCCGTGCGTTGCCCATATCAGCTTCTGCAACCCAACTGTCCTCAGTGGGGTTGTATCCCTTCCAGCGTATCAGGAACTCGAGGTCTTGCCGCCGCGGCGCCGATGAGTGAGAACACGCTCCACTTCGTACTCTGGTTCATCGTGTATGAGAACAGGTGGTGGTGGCGGTAGTTGCCGTCCCTGGAACTGTTGGTTGGGGTCCTTGCAGGGCTTCAGTAGCTGGACATGGAAAGCATTGTGAAGCTTCCATGTATCTGGTAAGCGCAAGCAGAATCCTACTGGTGTCACCTGTGCCTCAACGAGAAAAGGACCACAGAAGCGAGGCCGGAGCTTGGATGGTAGGTGAGACAGGTTCAAGTTGCGTGTGTCAAGAAGCACCTGATCTCCGACTGCTACCGAATGATCACGTCGCTGACGATCGGCATACTGCTTCTGGGTATTCTGCATCGTGGTGAGACGTCGCTGAGTCTTCTCCCATAGCTGCTGCATGGTGGTGACGAAGTCATGTGCGGCTTGGACGTGTGCCGGTGTGGTTGGCTGCTGTGGTGTGAGTGGTTCCTGTCCGTAACACTGGAAGAAAGGAGTTTTCCCTGTGGCTGCATGTGATGCGTTGTTGTAAGCAAACTCTAGGGTCGGTAACTGTGTGTCCCAGTGGCTGATGTCGTCCTTGCAAGCTGTGTGTAGTAACTGTTCAACCACTTGGTTGAGTCACTCTGTCTGTCCGTCAGTCTGGGGGTGGTATGCTGAAGACATTGCAAGCTTTGTCCCCAATAGTCCCATGAGCTCCTTCCAGAACGTACTGGTGAATTTTGGGTCTCTGTCTGAAATGAGTGTAGCGGGGATGCCGTGGATAGTGATGATGCGGTCAAAGAAGAGGCGAGCAGTTGCTTCAGCTGTAGCTGTGGCGTTGGTCGGTATGAAGTGACACATTTTTGAGAACTTATCGATCACTACGAGGATGGAATCGTGCCCCCGTGAGGTCGAAGGAAGTGCTGTGATGAAGTCAAGGCTAACGACCTGCCATGGCTGCTCCGGTACGGGTAGAGGCTGAAGTAACCCTGCTTTTTTCTGCTTGCTACTCTTCATCCGCTGGCACGTATCGCAAGAGGTGATGAACTGATGCACGTCTGCTGCCATCCCGGGCTAGTAGTAATACTTTGCTTTCCCTGCTAACGTCTTGTTGCTCCTGAAATGTCCCGCGTAAGGAACGTCGTGAAACTCCTCCAATAGGAACTGCCGTAGCGGGGTGTAATTCGGTACCCAAATCTTTCCTGAACCCTTCCTTACAGCCAAGTCTTTCTCCCACTGTAACAACTTCTTGGTCTGTGCTGTAGCGATTTCTGCGTCCACGGAGTACCCATGTTGGAATAGACCCTTGAGCAGAGGGTTCATCCCGTCGAGCTGGATGTCGGCTACATGTTCGAGGCGGCTCAATCCGTCTACTTTGTTATGTAGCCCGGGCTTGTAGATAATGTCATAGTGGAAGTGAGTTTCCAGGAAGTCCACCCACCGCACCTGTCGTCGTGAGAGCGTCGGTTGCGACTTCAGGTATTTGAGACTGCAGTGGTCAGTATAGACTGTAGTCTTTGTTGGGTGCAAATTCACATTGCACGACATCCTGTCGTCTGTTTGTACGAGTATGCGTGTGCGAATGCATTTGCGTGTGAGTGGAATGTTCGTATGTTTGTTTGTTTTCGCAATTTTCGCTTGAAGCATTTGCAGGTACTCGCAAAATGTGCGCTTTGGCACAACATTGTACGCGCTATAAACAGTGCCAGCAGGAAGGACGAGCTCGCAAAGGAACCCAAGATGGAAGCTTTGCAGTTCGGTCAAATTGATTGCGCAGCTTCAGTTCTATCCAACTTGTAATTGTACTGTTTTGTTTCGTTGACTATAGTGTAGCAGGGGAGGCACTATAGGGGTACAATTTAGGTGAAGGTTGGATGTTGTTTGTCTGTATCTACATGCTACAAGGCCAGGGGAAACAAGCGGAACCAGCATTTGGCTGGTTGGGCAAAGACAAAACAGGTTCTGTTTTTAGGACCTGAACCTGGTTGTTGTTTTCCCAGGTTGGAAAAACAGAACCAGAGGTTGTTTTCCAACCTACCACCTGCTGTTTTGTCCAGCCAGGTTGGTTCTATTGCTTGGAATTATTTGGGATCATCCCTGGTTGTTCCCAGGTTGATTCCCAAGGTCGTTGCTAGCTAGAACTATATATTCCTTCTGTGTTTGTACCTGAATATAGTCAATTTGATTCAAGCGAATTCCTCCCTTCCTGGAATTTCCTTTCTACGCAGTGCGACGGCGGAATGCTACCCGAGTCAATGCTAGTACGCTAGCACTCCAACGCTAGGCAAACGCTGTCTGAGCCATAACTTCGTAATGGCAGAACTTTTCGCGAGGCAACTTGGTTCATTTTAAAGCTCTTAGAGCGAGCTTCGATATAGGAAATTCTCAGCTTAATCCGGTCGACGGTCTGCACGATACGCTGCGCGACGTTCAAGGTACTCTTGCTGTTTTGACTAATCCCTCTTGATCCCTCTCCCTACAAACTCGGACCCGAGGATAGGGGCTGGTCTTGTACCAGGCACCCAAGGACCCTTGGAGGTGACCCCGAGGAGAGGTTTTAAGTTTGATAAAGTCTTAATAGCTTGAATATATTAGTCCCTTACACCAAAAGTCTTGGCTCCCTCTAGGTAACATCTCCACGCCTTAAAGGCTATGACTATCGCTAAGGCTTCCTTCTCGTGGATGGGGTAGTTTAGTTCTGCTCTATGTAGCTTCTTACTGAGGTAGGGGATGGGCTGCAAACCGCGTCCTTGATCCTGCATCAGTACTGCTCCGACTGCTTGGTCACTAGCGTCTGCTTCCACCACGTAGTCCTTGTCTGGATCCGGCAAGATGAGTACCGGCGCTGTAGTCAGTGCTGTCTGTAGCTGTTCTATGGCTTGCTGATGAGGAGTATCCCATTTGAAGGGCGTATCCTTTTTCAGTAGGTCCGTCAGTGGCGCTGTTATCTTTGCGTACTACGGCACGAACCTGTTGTAGTAGTTGGCGAAGCCTAGGAACTGCTGCAACTCCTTCACGTTCTCCGGTACTTTCCACTTCTTGACGGCTTCGATCTTCCGCGGGTCCACGTGTACGCCCTCGGCACTCACCATGTGCCCAAGAAACTGCACCTTCTTCAGGGCGAAGTTGCTCTTCGACAGCTTCACGTAGAACTTGTTTTTCCGCAGGATCTCGAACACCTTCCGTAGATGCTCCACGTGCTCCTTCATGTTCTTGGAGTAGATGAGAATGTTGTCCATGTACACCACCACGCTCTCGTCCAGCAGGGGTCGTAAGATGTGATTCATCTCCGCCTGAAACGTTGCTGGTGCGTTGCAGAGTCTGAACGGCATCACCAAGTATTTGTAGGAGCCGTATCTGGTACGGAACGCCGTCTTGTGGACCGAGTTGTCTGTCATCTTGATCTGCCAGTAACCCGATCGTAGGTCCAGCTTCGAAAATACTGTTGCTCCACGCAGTTGTTTGAGTAGGTCGTCTATGCGCAGTATGGGATATTTGTTTTTAACTGTCTGTTTGTTCAGTGCACGGTAGTCGATGCACATCCGTAAACTGCCGTCTGGTTTTGGAGTGAAGTGAACTGGTGCACCGTAGGGAGAGGTGGATGGGCGGATCAATTGTCTGTCCAGTAGATACTCTATCTGTTTCTTCATGTCTGTCAGTTCTGTCCGACTCAGTCGGTATGGTGCACGTGAGACGGGTTTCGTACCTGGTTCCTCCAGGATCTCGTGCTCGTGGGTGCGTGCGGGAGGTACGCCTGCGGGTAGGTCGTCAGGCATTATATCCTTGTACTGCTCCAACACCTCCTTTACTGCTACAGGTAGCTCCGAACTCGGCTTCTCGTTGTTGTAGATGCTTGTTTTCCGGTTGACCCAGTCGATCTCGGGGTTGAACCGCTTCAGAAAATCTCGCCCCAAGATGAAATCTAATCCCTTGGTGTTCGTGATCGGCAACGTCGGTTTCCACCTCAACGCCCCTATCTGCAGCTGCAGTGTTGACTTGCCGTGGATGGGAAGCTTCGTACCGTCCACCATCGTTGCTGTAAACTGGGTTTCTTCTTAGGATTCTCCAATTTTCTCCAACGTCCCGCGGTCGCATACCGAGTGGGACGCACCACTGTCCATTAGGGCCTGGAGGCGACGCGCGTTGCAGATCACCTCAAGTACTAGTGGTTGCTGCTACTCCTAGTATCCGCGGATGGTATCGCTTCTAGGATCGTAGGGTACGTCGAATATTTATCCCTAGGTCCTGCGCTCAAAGATGCAGCTTCAGTACCAGTTTTCAACTGAGAAAGGTTAGAAGGATTTATCCGAGGCCGATTCGGCTTCTCTTGGGCCTGGAACCTTCCACTAAGCCTTTGCAGCTGTGTAGGCTTCATTTGTGGGGAACAGGGAGCCTTTCAATAGTGCTGCTGGGAGAGAATATTAACTCCTCGGAACGCTCGACCCGTATTAGCGCTCTGGAGTAGGGTCCCCATAATACCTGGTACCAATTTAATTTCTGACTCTCCCTTAATAAAGGCTTGAAACCCACGAGAAGTAATATTCTTACTTGTCGGGGTATATGGCTGGAGTTTCCCGGTCGGTGCAGGGTCTTGTTTCGCGGATCCTCCATTAGTCTCGACGATTTCTCCTGGTGCCGGCTGGTCGTGACATTTAAGTTTGCGCCACCATATTCTCCTTTTTTCGCCCTCTCCGAAGTTGCCACGTTGTCCGTTTTCTGCTCCGGGGGTGCCGCACTGTTCTTGTCCTTCAGCTCTGCACACCTTCTCTTCATTTTCCAACACGCCAAGATACGATGTCCTGTAGCGCCGCAAAATTTGCACGTCTCATTATTTGCTAGCCGCTGCTCCACATCGCCCTCGTCGTTCTCCATCGGGTTGGCAGTCGTGGGTGGTACCAATCGCCCTATGCCACTAGTTGGCTTGTTGCGTCGTGTTCCGTAGTAGCTACTGTTCAACGTGTCAAACTGTTTGATCAGTGCTGCCGGAAATTGCGCCCACGTCCCCTCGCCTTGGACTATTATGTTGTTGATCCACTCTAGAGCTGGGCCTTGTAACAGTGTTGCTGCGAGCCGTATGCGCATTGCGTCTTTTGTCGGGGTCGTGCATCCAACAGCTTCGAAGTAAATTTCGAGTTCAGCTACAAATCGACGAACGTCGTTCCTTTTTACTGTAGGATCGAACGCCTCCGGTAGCCTCGGCTTCACTGCTTCAAGGTTAACTGTAGCTGTTGCCGTTGTCCCATGTAGAATTGTCGGTGTTGCCGCTGCTGCTGCTGCTACTGTTTGTCGCTGCTGCTGTGGCGGTTGCCGACTGGTTTGCAAGGAGTTTTTCGAGTTGTGGGAGCGCTGCATGTATTTGCTTATGCTCAGCACGTAACTCCGCGATTTTGTGTGCTGAAATATCTCCTTTTCCCTCCATTTGGCGATTTACAGGAAGATGCGCGACGAAAATAATCCAATTCTAGGTGCTGGTCGACTTACTGCGAGTTAGGTTGACTATAGGATCGACGAGCGCGAATTCTGTAGGTCGCGTAAATCTCTCCAGGCAAAATTCGCGTCCAATCTTGGCCGTTGAGGAGAAAATCAATCCGACGCTCCGAATTCCAACTGTTTTGGGCGAAATTCTCTGGGCCGTTGAGATGAAACTCGATCGAACGGTCGAAACTCCAACCTTTCCACCAGCAAATCTGAGGTGTGTTCGAAAACCGAATCGAGGGGGACTTAGAAAAATTGCGCGGAACTGGTTTTACATACCCGTATCGGCGCTTTCGTCGTCGCCTCTGCGGTTTTTAAAAGGCCGGAACTAAGCGGTTGAAGACCCCGCGTGTAAACCCGCTCTGATTACGAAGTGTGAGGATCTAGGATCGAACTCAGAAAAGAGAATGTGAATTGAATTGAATTGAATGAATCACCTGGGTACAACACGAGGCTATATATAGGCTCAAAACTAGGCCCCGTAACCAGGTGTTACGCGAAGGTTCCGGGGGTCGCGAAGCGTCCCGAACAGATCCTTCCCAAATTCGGTAGAAGGCAATTCGGTGGCAACCGAAAAGCCAGAATTCGGTGCACGCAACCTATCTCGGTGCTATAACTAAAATAAAATATAGGAAAGCACCTAGCCTAGGAAATCAAGCAATTTATGCATGCATATAATTATCCTATGCTAGAAATAGCATCATAAAGTAAAGGCAAGCAAGCATAGCTGGCATAAGCCGTCGTACTCTCACACCAGGACCAAGGCGTAGGAGCTTGCCCCTCCACCGTGCAGGCGTCCACGGTGGAGGCCATGGGCACGCTGCCACCCTTTAGCGCCTTGGGCTGCAGCGCCACCGTCGTGGCTGACCAGTCCGCGGCCGTCACTCCCAGCACCGACTCCAGCGCCAGCAAAGTTGTTGCTGCACGTGGGAGGAGAGGACGCAGTATGGTGGTATGCGGGGGCGAGGAGGGAAACGGAAACGAGGGGGAGAAAGGCAGAGAAAGGGGCAGTGAGTGTGGCAGAGCACCACTCACTGGTGTTGGCGTCCATAGCAACTGGTGTGTAGTAGAGGTTGCGTGTGGGAGAAGATGCAGTGATAGGCGCCGTGACGCGCGTGGTGTTGACGAGGCAGGGCACGCCGCCGCACAGCTTGCCCTGGCCGCTGTCAGTGCCGCAGATGGCGCAGTCTGCGGCGGAGCGCTGCGCGATGCCCAGCGAGGCATAGTTGTTGGCGTTGGTGAGGCAGTTGGTGGTGGCGGCGCAGTAGGTGAGCATGTTGGTGGGGAAGGCGGCCGAAAGGAAGTTGCTCTGTATGTCCAGCGCATTGGTTGTCGCCGGCACCGCAGGGAAGGCGCCCTTTGAGGTAGTTGTAGCCCACGGAGCTGCAAGGTCAGGGGAGGGGGTCAGGGAAGGGCGGTGGGGAGAGAGACGAGTTGGGAAGGAGAGAAAGGGTGGGATAGGCCCTGTGGACGCTGCCCCAGGCACCACCACGCCCACCGCCCCCATCACAGAACGCCACACTGTCATCGCACACACCCCACCAGTAACATTCCGTGCTACTGCTCGCACACCCCCTTGCTCACCTGCCTGCTCAAATACCCCCTTGCTCACCTGTCTGCTCAATACCCCCTTCCCACCTACCCTCATCTGCCCTGCTCGCATACCCCCTTCCTCGCCTGGCCTGCTCGCATACCCCCTTGCTAACCTGCCCTGCTCTGCCCTGCTCGCATACCCCCTTGCTCACCTTCCCTACTCTGCCCTGCTCGCATAACCCCTTGCTCACCGGTTCTCCTGGCAGCAATCAGGCTACGCAAACAAGAGCTCTCCCCCCTGCCCCCTGCGTACCTGCGGTGTCTTTGAGTCCCACCACGGGGCTGCCCACGCACGTGCAGGGCAGCACGAGCTGCAACGAGCTGCTCACAGTGCCCGCTGCCACGGCTGCAGACGCGTTCACAGAGCACACCGCTCCTGCCCCCCAGCACAACGGCGGCACGCTGCTGGTGCCGCAATAGGCACACTCCGCCACGGGGTGCTGAGCTGTGCCGGCAGAGGAGTACTTGGAGAGGGACGCGAGGCACTTGGTGCTGCCGCCACACCAGAAGTAGGCCACTACTGGGAGGTCCGTGAGGAAGTTCAATCGCAGGTCCAGCGTGCGCAGCCCCGTGACGAGCGCCGGCACGGTGCCTATGAGGTAGTTGCTGACGGCTCCACTGGGCGAGGGGGAGGGGAGTGCAACAAATGGAATTGGAGAGCTGGGTGAAGGAAGAGAGCGAAACAGCCGAGGCAGCAAATAGCCATACGATGAAAGTGATGGGTGAAAAAAATATGAGTGGGTGAAAAATGTTGGGTGCAAATTCACATTGCACGACATCCTGCCGTCTGTTTGTACGAGTATGCGTGTGCGAATGCATTTGGGTATGAATGGAAAGTTCGTGTGTTTGTTTGCTTTCGCAATTTTTGCTTGAAGCATTTGCAGGTACTCATGCATTGTGCGCTTCGGCATAACATTGTACACGCTATGAACAGTACAAGCAGAAAGGACGAGCTCACAAAAGAACCCAAGATGGAAGCTTTGCGGTTGGGCTTACTTGATTGCGCAGATTCAGTTCTATCCAACTCCAAATTGTACTGTTTTGTTTGGTTGACTATAGTGTAGCAGGGCAGGCACTATAGGGGTACAATTTAGGTGAAGGTTGGATGTTGTTTGTCTGTATCTGCTTGCTACAGGGCCAGGGAAAACCAGCGGAACCAGCATTTGGCTGGTTGGGCAAAGACAAAACAGGTTCTGTTTTTAGGACCTGAACCTGGTTGTTGTTTTCCCAGGTTGGAAAAACAGAACCAGAGGTTGTTTACCAACCTACCACCTGCTGTTTTGTCCAGCCAGGTTGGTTCTGTTGCTTGGAATTATTTGGGATCATCCTTGGTTGTTCCCAGGTTTATTCACAGGGTCCTTGCTAGCTAGAACTATTTATTGTTTCTCTGTTTGTACCTGGATATAGTGAAATTGATTCAAGCGAATTCCTTCCTTGCTGGAATTTCCTTTCTACGCGGTGCGACGGCGGAATGCTACCCGAGTCAACGCTAGTACGCTAGCACTCCAACGCTAGGCAAACGCTGTCTGAGCCATAACTTCGTAATGGCAGAACTTTTCGCGAGGCAACTTGGTTCATTTTAAAGCTCTTGGAGCGAGCTTCCATATAGGAAATTCTCAGCTTAATCCAATCGACGGTCTGCACGATACGCTGCGCGACGTTCAAGGTACTCTTGCTGTTTTGACTAAGTCCCTCTTGATCCCTCTCTCTACAAACTCGGACCCGAGGATAGGGGCTGGTCTTGTACCAGGCACCCAAGGACCCTTGGAGGTGACCCCGAGAAGAGGTTTTAAGTCTTAATGATCAGAGCTTTAGGTTTCAAGCTTGAGTTTATTAGGCCCTTACACCAACAAGCTGGTATCAGAGCTGCGTTATAGTGATCCTCGATATAGGTAGCTATAGCGGGCAACTCCTCTACAGGAGCTGGTGAATCTTCAGCCCAAGATCGTAGCGGCAGCCATGATTCTGTTGTTTCAGCGCCAAGGGGAGCGCGAACAAACGAGGGCTCGCTGGTCAAGGAGGTGCTGAAAAACTTCACCGTCGAGAAGTTCAATGGTGAGGGCTATGATGATTGGGCCTGGAAAATGCAACTCTATTTCCGTCAGATTGGATTGCTGAAACCAATGATTAGGGAGGAGCCTAGACCGAGTGACCCCGCGCTGCAGGAAGATTGGGACGAGCGCTCCTCAGCTGGCTACTACTTGATGTCGCAGAGTTTGGAGCTGAACCAGCGTCACCACGTCATGCACCTGCTGCGGAAGGTTGAGTGCGGTCCGAAGGCGTGGACCGTGTTGAAGGAGCTGCACGCCCCGACCTCCATTGTTGCAATGTTGATGCTGGAGAGGGAGCTGTCCGCATTGCGCCTGAGCGAGGGAGAGCCGGTGCAACCTGTCCTGGACAAATTGCGCGACCTCTACGCGAAGTTGGCAACCGCGGGAATCACCTACCCGGAGCAGACCAAGTGCCTGAAGATGCTCTCCCTGCTGCCGGAATCGTGGCTTCAATTCACGAGTGGATTGAGCCTGCCGCAGAACCAAAGCTCATGGACACTCGACTGGGTGTGGACAAAGATTCTAGAGGAGGACTTCCGTTGCCGCCAACTGAAGGGTGGAGACGACGGCAGCAGCGGCTACGGAATGCAAGGGAGCCGACGTGGCAGAGGACGTGGCTTCGGTGGTGGTGGACGCGGTGCAAAGAAGGACGACGACTCCAACGACCAACAAGGAGGTACCGGTTGGGGTCGCGGTGCGAAATCTGGATGTGGGGGCAAGTCGGGTGCTGGTGGCAAAATGAAAGGGAGTTGCTGGTATTGTGAGAAGGAGGGGCACCCCTGGTTTTTGTGCTATAAGAAACACGATGGATGGACCCCCCAGAATCGTCACCAGGATGGCGGCGCACGGAGGAACCAGAAAAACGGCGCGAGCATGGTTGCTGATTCGTCCAACAACAACCCGAAGAGCAACAGCGGTGCGGAAAAGAAGAAGGAGCGCACCGCGGGCCAGTTCTTCCATATTGGAGAGAAGGGGGAGCAGGGAGAGCAAGGAGACGCCTTTGCCAAGGTTGGAGCAGAGCTGCACCCCCTGGATTATTGGGTGTTGGACACAGGCGCTGCTTGGACGATGACGCCGCGAAAGGACCTGCTAGACCATGTACGCACTGCACCGATCAACGAGGTGTGCTCCGCCTCTGGACACGCGCTGAAGGTGGCTGGTGCCGGACGAGCTGCGTTTAAGGGAGCGGATGGCAAGCCGGTGGTGCTGCACGACGTTCTCCTCGATCCTGAACTCAAGGCCAACCTCATCTCCCTCCGTAAGCTTGGCTAGGCTGGGGTGAGTACTAACACAGATGGGGCACGCACTTACAAGGGGCAGCTGGGAAATCGGGTGCTTTGGGATCTGCACGAGAGCAAGGACGTGTACAGATCCATGTGGCAGCTGCCGGCATTGGCGTGGCACGGTGGGGGGCAGGCTGGAGAGGGGTCTGCATCCCAGGGGGAGTGAAATGCCGTTGGAGGGGTTGGTGTGAAAGTGTCGGCCAGATCTGGGGAGACGGATTGGGCAACGGCACACCGACACTTGGGGCATGTGGCAATGCCCTTGTTGAAGCAGTTGGAGAAAGATGGAGCCGTTAAGGGTCTGAAGTTGAACGGACAGCCACCTGATGAGAATTGTGAAATCTGTTTGTTCTCAAAGTTTACCCGTTTCCCCTTCTATAGTGTGGCTGGCAGGAGCAAGTAGCCATTGGAGCTGGTCCACATGGACTTGGTGGGGCCGCTCCCGGTCCAGGGGCACAAGGGGGAGCGGTACTTTTTGACCATAGTGGATGATTAGAGCAAGCTTATGTGGGCATATCCACTGAAGCAGAAGGACCATGCTGCCTCTTCGATACGGGAAGATTGGATGCCATTCGTGGAGAAGCAAGCGGAGTGTGTGGTGAAGCGGATTAGGACAGATCGGGGTAGTGAGTTCCTTGGAGCTGAGATGACGGCCTGGCTCAAGAAGCAAGGCATCCAGAGGGAGCTGACCACGGCTTACACCCCACAGTCTAATGGTGTAGCAGAACGGGCTAACCGGACAATTCTGGAGACAGCTAGGGCGCTGCTCATAGAATCTGGGCTGGGCAACTTGATGTGGCCCCATGCTGTTCGGCACGCTACCGTCGCTAGGAACAGGGTACTCACAAAGGTTGGGGATGACTCGTGGGTGCCGTTGGAGAGGTGGCTTGGGAGGAAGCCGCCGGTGGACATGCTGAGGGTGTTTGGTTGCATCGCAGTCGCCCACGTCCCCAAGACCTACCGCAGTAAGTTAGGGGCGAGTGCAATCTGGTGTGTGCATTTGGGGCTGGTTGCTGAGAGCAAGGGATGGCTGCTGTGGGAACCTTCCAAGGGTGTGTTGTTTGACAGCAGGGATGTGAAGTTTGTTGAGGGCATGATGTATGGGAGCTGGGAGAAACAGCCGGAGGCCAGGGTGTCCCAACAAATGGAGCAGATCACCATGCAGCTGGACCTGACTCCTGGCGTGTGGGAGGAGGGAGAGGAGGCAGCTGCAGAGGGTGGTGATGGAAAGAAGGTACAGGAGGCACCTGCTGGTGGAGAAAATGATGTGGAGACTGGCACTAGTGGAGCTGCTGGATCTGAGGGGACAGAGCAGCAGCACAGAAAAACTAAGAAGCCGAAGCGTGTCGTTATGAAGGGATGGGAGACACCAGTCTCTAGGCCAGGACGTACCCGTATGGCTACTAAGAAGCTGACTGCAGGAGCTGATGTAGCGGAGCAGCAGCTTGAGACCGAGGAGGCATTGCTGATTCTACCGCATGGCTATGATCCAGATGAGGAGGATGAACCTGCCTATTGTTTTCTTGCCCCTGCACCAGAGGAACCAGCTAGCATGGAGGAGGCATTTGCTGGACTAGATAGGGAGAAGTGGCTGGTTTCCAGGGATGCTCAGTACCAGAGCCTGCTAGAGAATGGGACATGGGAGCTGCTGGTGCTGCCTGAGGGGAAGAAAGCGGTACAGTGCAAATGGGTGCTAAGGATCAAGACCGATGACAAGGGACAGGTCACCATCTACAAGAGTAGGCTGGTGGCTAAGGGGTTTACGCAGAAGGAAAAGCGGGACTTCAATGAGATCTTTGCTCCCACTGCCAAACCCCCTACCCTCCGTGTCTTGTTCGCAGATGCAACCGTTAGTGGGAAATTCATCATTCAAATTGATATATCTACGGCATTCCTCAATGGGATTTTAGAGGAGGAGGTGTACATGACGCAGCCACCTGGGTATGAGGATGGTACGGGCAGGGTGTGCAAGCTGAAAAAGTCCATCTACGGCTTGAAGCAGGCGCCACGCTGCTGGTACCAGAAGTTGGCAGCTGTTTTAGAGGAGATGGGATTCAGGACCAGCAGCTGTGATGAGAGCCTCTTTCTCAAGGGGGAGGGGGAGAAGCTGGTGCTGTTTCTGGTCTATGTGGACGACATTCTTCTCTTTAGCAGCAGCATGAAGGAGATCCAGAAGGTGCAGCAGTAGCTGATGGAGAACTTCATGTGCAAGAACCTTGGGGAGGTTAAATACTAGATCGGGATGCACGTAGAGAGGGATCCAGGTCACAGGTGGTTGAAGCTGCACCAGGAGAAGTTCATCAAGAAGCTGGGGGAGAAGTACGAAATTGAGAATGAGCGCAAGGATGAAACTCCCCTGCCAGCAGAATTCA